GAGAGAGAGAGAGAGAGAGAGAGAGAGAGAGAGAGAGAGAAAGTGTGGCAGAGGGAGGTTTTCACAGAGGGCAGAAGAAAGAAAAGCGAAGGAGGAAGAAACTGGAGCTGGCCACTAACTCAATAGAAGGCGAGAGAAGTCAATTTAGTTTCTCTGCAGAGGGCAGATTGCAGCAGTTAGCCAGCTCAGTAGCAGCGATCAACATCCTCTCTCTTTCCTGGGGGGTAAGGAAAGGGGATATGGGCCTCCCAAAGAAGATCAAAACATCATTCGCTACAAGGGCAGATGGGCGTGAGAGAGACAGCAAATAGCCATAAAGTAGTTCCTATTACTTGATTAGAAGAAGCTGAATCAGATAGCACAGTCAGATAAGTGCGAGTGAGTCAGAACAGGAAAAACAGAGGTGTACAATGCTCGCTTGTGAGCAGATGAATCAAAAGTAATGTGGTTGATACCACACGATACAGCTTTGGAGTGCCAGATTAGTGCTAAGTGCCAATATTCGCTACTCATCATCCACTGTGAAATGGATATTGCTGGAAAGTCAAATAAAAAAAAGAGCGGTTTTTAAAATGGTATCAATGGGTAGGTGTCAGAGGAAGCTGAACAGACTTTAGAAATCCATTCACAGAAAGACAGAAAGATCAAAAAAGACCATCTTAAGGGGTAGCCTGATATGAAATGCCACCGTTGGTGGTCAGTTGCATTATTGATGAGCCTTTAGCTTCCAGTGATCTGGATTCAGACTTCATTTCATGCCAAGAGGGTTTGTGCTTAACAGTCGTGCTATTATGTAACATTAACTGTGCTGTGTGCTGTGTATTCAATTAAAACCTGATGTAAACCATATAGCTTTTGTTTTATAAGTATAGTACGCAATCAACATTTGTAGCTAAGCAATGGCTCAAACATGGCTGTGTAATGTGATCAGAGTGATAAGCAGCAGTATCTGTGGCACTGTCCCGTAGCTCTAAGTGGCATTTAAGCCTGTTTCAGCTCATTGCTTTAGTTCTTCAGAAATACAGCTGTTTTTAGCAGCAGATTCAAGCAACAAAGCTTTGACAAATCCACAGTATTCCAGCCTGTTCGACACAAAACTGAGCTGCAACAGACCCAAATATTTACCACAAGAATCTTTCAAACCTCAAACAAAACTGGAAAGAAACGCAAATATAGGAGTGGATACAAAAATATCCAGGTGTTATGTTTTTAGATCACACACCTGTCTCCAGCTCCAGCTTTAAATACAATCAAAACTCGTGTAATTGCCTGTGTCTAACTGTAAATGCAGACTTCAGTAGATTCTGCTATTATGCAAAACATAAACTATATCACAGAATTTAAGTAAATACACATTTTTGTGTATGTAGACAGTGCAAACATTAAATAAGATGTATATCCATCTTTTAATCGCTTAAACAGGTAAAAATATCCATCTGTGTTGGTCCCATTTACCCTTGTAAAAGAGTCAGCATCTTTCCACACTGTAGATGGTGCATTGCTAACAGCAGGAACAGTTACATCCATCATCATCTCCCACTACTTTCAGCAGTAGGAACACATAAAAGCTAACTTCCAGCTGGCTGCCGCCAAAGATCTCTGACAGATGCTTGGTGGGAAGGGCTTGCGGCTGGCAAACGCGGAAGATACGCAGTCAATTATGGTTACTGGAGAGGTTGGGGTAATAGGTTTTTACAGTGCGCACTAGCCTATCCCAGTAATGGGAATGCCCAAACTGCAGGAGCATTACTGCATGTGCTGCAGATTTGCCTGTAAAATATGGTCTCACAATGCTGCACTGGCGGGATGGCTTTGTTTGTGTGTGTGTGTGTGTGTGTGTGTGTGTAGGTAAATGAGATCTTATTAGCAGTCAAGTGCTGCAGTCACCATCAGAGAGCATTTTACACTGTTCTTACCCAATGTGAGCTCATCAGAGTGTTACAGAGAAAAAAGAAAAGCCCGTCTGCTACAAGTCATTTATCATTTTAAATCAATGAATGCTACAATGTGATCATCCAATGAATATTAAAACTGGATGCATAGAAAGTCATATTTTGAGTACAAGTATAGTACAGAGCACTTACCAGCGTAAGGGCCACTAGCTATATGAGTGGCTTTTTTGATAATATAGGAGCTTTTAAAATCTTCAAATCCCACTACTCGATGATTTAATATTAAAAATGAATGCATCTTCACTTGTTTTAATTATAATATTGTGACATTTTATTTACAATATTGTACAGAAATCCTGAGCCACCCCTCTTTTCTTTCTATTTTGCCTCCAAAGAACAAGACTTTCTCGTATGATAGTTCTCCAGCCTTCCAGAAGGTCCAGAAGTTTCTTTAGGTGTTTTTCCATTCATTTTCATTCCAGTGCTTCTACCTCACTATATTCAGAGGAATGTTTTTGTAAGGCCACTTAACACTGACCTATGACTCATTCAAACATAAAAAGACATGATAAGTTAGGGGATGACCCAGTGTTGTCTCTACGCAAAGAACTGTATCTTCAGGCACTTTGTTACTAGCAGCCTGCTACAACACACATAAATTGTATTTTGAAGTGGAGGACAAAAGAATAAGAATCTTCAGAAGATAAAAGTTATCTGAATGCCATGTCCTTAATAGGGGAAAAGATCCAGCCTGACAGGACCTGAGAGATGCATCTGGCCCTCCAGTTGATCTGAAGGCCCAGATGTTCACTGAAGACTCACGCGATGGTCTCAGTGGAAATGACTGTCTTCTTCTGGCAAGAAGGCATTGTTAATGAAGGGATACTGGGATAAAAGGCTGAGGTATGCCAAATTGTACAAAAACTGGACTGAAAAATCAATGGTAACAGTGGAGTGGAGTGGTGAATCCAAATGTGAAATCGGGATGTACAGAAGAGGTCAGGAGAGAGATACGACAGTGAGTGTCTACAGCCATCTGTAAAACATGGCGGAGGTTCTGTCATGGTTTGGAGCTGCCTATCAGCCAGTGATGTTGGAAATCTTGACAAAATTGATTACATTTAGTTTTATTTATATAAACGACAACAACTGTTGCCTCAAGGTGCTTAATTGATACAATTGTAAACACAGAAAAGTGCCATCAGATGTTGATACCTAATGCAATACCATCTGC